CTTTTCTTCGCGTATATTTGCAAAGAAGGAACTAATCTTGAAATTCGTGATGGCCAGAGTTCATCAAGCGACTTGATAAAAACATTCTGTGGACAGGACTTTGAGAGTTCGGTGTTTTCCAGCGGTCGCCATCTTTGGGTTCAGTTCCAGTCTTCAGATGATTCATTCCAATACGGAACTGGATTCCATGCCCTGTTTGAGATGGTCAATCAGTGTAAGGCTTTCATTCTGTTCTTTCATTAATATAAGATCTTGGTTTACATTTTCCCCTACTGGCTGGTAATTGCATTAGCTGGGTTCACAGCTGTCAGTCTTGCCTTCCAACAGCAACAGCACTTTCCTTGCGCAATAAGTCAGGTTCGAGTGTAAGTTCTAGTTTGAGAGCCAGACATTTTTCATCTGAATTTTCTTTGCAACTCACTTTTGATTGTTTCACATGCAACGTCGCCTCGAAAATTATTTTGCATCTTCCGTTTATATCCTAAGAACTGCATGAATTACTTGGCTTCATTTTGACGCTTTTTTTTTTTTAATTTTAGTACCAGCACCTTTTTCCTGCACTGCGCGCAACCTGCGGGTCAAGTTAAAGTTAGAGACTGGAACCTTGGCCAGTTACAACTACCCTCTGCCATATGATGATTCTGTTGAATGTGTTTGGAGCATCAATGTGAATACTGATTCCATAATTGAACTGTCGTTCGATTTCTTCAATCTGTCCGACTCCGCTGACTGTTCTGAGGATTACGTGGAGGTGCGTGATGGCCTGTTTAGCGAGAGTGAACTTGTAGGAAAGTTTTGTGGATCAAATAAACCCTCAAAGATAACTTCAGATTTGTGGGACTTGCGCGTGGCGTTCAAGTCCAGTGGAAAAACGAAATATCCCGGATTCAAGGCAACCTACAAAACAAAGAAAACAGGTCAGTTAAAAATGAATAACGTTTAACACATTTTCAATGTTTCCCTCTTTTTTTTTTTTTCTTGCTAATTGCTTTCGNTTTTTTTTTTTTTTTTCTTGCTAATTGCTTTCGCTCGATCATTCGTTCTTTCCTTTCGTGCTTTTTTACGTTCCTTAGTTCATATGTTTGTTCTTTCTTTCGACTACTTGCTTGCTTCCTCTAATGTTACTGAAGTTGCTTTATGAAAAATTGCAACTCAAATTGAAAACGGAGGAGAAGGAGTCCTATTATTGAGTAAATGTCACAGATTACAGAGCCGGGGTTATTAAGTGATACATTCATACGGTATGCATTAATTGAATGTTGAACCAACGTACACTTTTGATGTTCTCTCCTCAGATACAACTCTACAGATTTTAAAGGCCGTGGGAATTAGTCTTGGAGTACTAGTTCTTTTATGTCTCGTTATATCCAGTTGTATCGTGTGCTACAAGAGAACGCACAATCAACCTCAGCCCGGAGTCGTTCTTCAAGGAGCTGACAATTCTGCTCATGTCGCTGAAGATACAAGGAAACAAACCACTAGTTTTTAGCTTCTTGGATACTTAAAACGGAGAGCAGAAAAAGGAAAACAATTCGTATAAGCAAACCGGTTTTCCACAATCGAAGTTCTCACTCTACGTCTTTTTATTGGAGTATAAGATTAAGAAGCCTGAATTTTAGAGTACCTCTAGAATGACTGACTATGTTACGAGCTATTCATGTATGTCATTATTGTAATCCATCAAATATTTTCGCTCGAACTACGCTCTCGGAAAACTGTTCGCTTCTCGGAACAGATAATGTCCGCGAACAAATATATCTAGGCATATTTTCGCCTCAACTGGAGGCCATTGTTTGTATATTGGGACAGCATACACGACATCTGATTGGCTAATTCCGAATTTGCTGCAGAAAAGTAGTATATTATTCTACGGAGCGGATATTGGGATCCACTCCCTCTCTATTTAATAGTTTTATATTTTTGTTTAATTTTTGTAAAGGAATTTTACCTCAGGTCTACAGATATTTATTATATTACGGGAATACATTTTGTAACAAGCTATGAATCAAAACTGAGTGTGTATACCTTTCGTATGACCGGCATATTGAGGCATTTATACAGACCAATTGTATCTTTATTTACGGTCACATATGAAAGTTATGATTTAACTGTCATGTAGTGTGAGTTACTGTTGGTTCTTGCTCTGCCTCATCGATCCCGGGGTCCATCGCAAAGGGGAATCAGAAGCTGAGGGCAACCGTCCCACACCTTCACACTCACCGTGCAGGTACTATGAAGGATTAAACAGTGACGCCTGGGGACGGGGAAGAATCCGCACCTGTCTAAAAAGCCCCTCTCCTCCGCAGACGCTCTAAGGGGGTTTTCGGGTGGGGAGAATCCGCTAAACGATATTAGTGCAGGCGCAGGGTTACGTGAAATGCGATCCCTTCGACTTTCGCCTCGTACTCGTATATTTTCCCGTGTCATTCATTCATTCAATCATTCGTACAGCGGCTTTCTATAACGAACGTTTGGAAACTCTGCGGAGAGAGTAGAACGCCCTGGTTAACCTTCAGTGATAAAAATAGTCTCTCACCCGCCAGTTTCATCCCATACGCGCGACTGGCCGACTGCTTAGCTCAAGATTGATTGATTGATTGATTGATTGATTGATTCATGAAGAAAACACTTACAGTACAATAAAACAGAGTAAAGATAAGTCCGCGCAAAAAGAAAACTACGGCACTTTGAGGACTACAATAGATATAGAAATAAATTAATGCTAAGCGCTACTGATTAGAAATTTGAAAACCATGACATCATTGACACAAAGTAAGTAAATTAATTTGTCCTAATGAGATGTTGGTGGTGGCAAAATTTCTGGAACAAAATCTTTAAATATAAGGCATTTGCATTTCTCGTTAAAGAGCTTGGCAGTTTTGTTTTTTATTGCAATGTACCTTTCAGTCATTATGTTTTCTCGAAGTTGTA